TTTATAATTATCTCCAATAACTTGCCTATACATTCCAGTAGTTTAGATTTTGCTTTGCCCAGTTGATTAGGATAACTGTCACAAAGTTTTATTAATGTATCCCAATTGACATCTTTATTAGCATCAAACCACCTCTGGAATACCAAATTAAGATTGGTACTTGCTGCTCCTGGTATTTGTTGGAGATCAGCTGTATTCACACCCAATCCAGTCCCTATTAGCATGTAACAGTGAGCAGAAGAATCAAATATCTTTGTGACAGCTGCCATATTAAGCTCTTTGCCTATTAATAATGAATGATCAAAATTATTATTATTAATATTCTACCTACTAAATACATGTACATGTACAATAACATACAGTAATTTTCTACTATGAATCAGACCAATCAGCAATCGGACCAATCTGATTGCTTGATGTCAGTTTCATAAATAAATAACTTACCACCAAGTTTCCCTAGGGTCTGGCCAGGGAGACTAAAGTTTCCCCTGAAGGTTAATAAGTAGTGCAGAGCGGAATTTACTCATTCACCTCCTGTTGTAAAATGCATTTGCTGTTGTTAACTGATGCTAAGCCTAGTAGGGTATCTATCAGCCTCCATTACTTTGTATAACCTTCACATAAGGTACTATACTCTTTAACAGTCAACGGATCAGTTTTTATACAATGGAGGTTCTAAAGGAGGCTAAGCATTATAGCAGCTGTACAGGCTATTATTATATAATATTGCAGCTGCACCTAGTACTGCAACAAGGCGCATGAGTACATCCAAGAGTAGATAATAATTAGAGCCTAGCTATAGGGCCTAGGTCTGCTTCATCACTGCGTAGAATTGAAGAGTCACATTCAGGATATTTTCAGTATTTTTGAGTAGTTGGGGCGAGCATGAGCGAGACCCACACTAATCTGTCTAGGTCTATTTGCGTTACGTCTTGTTTATGAACGGAAGAATACGAAAATTAAATTAGTATACTATTATTGATAAATTTGGACCACGTGGGCAAAATTAATTTAGAGGGTGTGGTCAAAAAGAGCAAGGTGGTGGAAATTTTAATGTGAAAAACTCAGATTGAGTTTCTAACAGTTAGATAAAAGAGAGGGGCTGTGAGAGAAGCTTGATTAGAAGTTTAGCTTGTCACTTTTTCTCAAAGTATTAGGACAGTTCATTCTTGTCACTTTTACTAGGTCATTTTGGTCAGTGGTGTTAAATAGTGGCTTTGCTCTGTTCAGACCCCACCAGACGATAAGGATGGGGTCTGAATATGCATGCACGTTAAGAGCTGGATTGATTTTATTTCAGTAGTTTTATTTCAAAAAGATGTTAATTGATGGAAGCTTGATTAAAAGTTTAGCTTGGCACATTTTTTTCAAATTGACAGGATAGTTCATCCTTGTCTCTTTTACTGGGTTATTTTGGTTGTGTTAACTGGTGTGTTTGCTCTGTTCAGACCCCGGCCATGAGGCCGGGGTCTGAACATGCATGTAGGCTAAGAGCTGGATTTATTATAATTTTAATCTTCTAATCAAATAATGTGAATTGATGGCTCGCCCCCTCAATGTTTACATTCACCTAGTAATAATAATAATAGTATTGAGAGGTGTGGCAAATTATTAGTTTAATTAATTAAAATTAATTTCACGAATCACTTTATTACTAGTCCTAAGAAGTCCATTGGTTGTATCATACTGATGAGTGAGGTATGAGTGACACTATTGAACTGACTAGTACACAACCTATTGTAACTGGAGTGAACCTCATATCTGTAATAAAATTAATTATGACAGTTTTATTATATTTATTATTTAAACAAGAGGTACAAATCCTTTAACACTAACATCAGTAAAACTTTTATTAAAAGTATCTAAAACATACATCATGTCCACCCTATCACCCACTGAGTGCCTAGTACAGGATAATATCAACTGATGCATCAGTGACCAGCTGCCAGCAAGAGACTGGAGCATACCTG